TGGTCCTTCTGCTTGTTTGTTAGTGGATCACATCTTGCCAAAGTTCAGAGGAGAGGGATAGTAGCCAGGCTGGGACATTTGCGGCTATCTGCTTTTTCTGCTATCTGTGTTAACAACCTCACAGATCCTTACCTTGTCCTAATGGTTTAAGTGGACCAAAACCTCAGATCAGGTTTTTCTTTAGGCCAACCCTTAAAATGCTAACTCACACTACAACAGAGGGGACAGAATACTATAAATAACTTAATTCACTAATTCACCAATTCAAGATTTAAGAGGAAAGAAGGTGGTGAATTTAATAAAAGTGAGGAACTCAAATTGTACCATTGAAAAAATAGACTCCCTTTCCCGTTATTGTGGATAGCTGGAGAGGTCTAGGGTATCAAATGACAATTAGAAATGGAAGGGAACCCCCCCCCAAAAAAAAAAAAACAGTGTACTTAGCAGCAGCAGCTGGATTACCTGGCGGAGAGAAAAGGCTCTAATTCAAAGACTAAACCTTGAAATTATCACAGATTTGCATTTCAGGCTCTCACTTGTGGATAAACTTTGAAGATAAAGCTTCCAAACCCATTCCATCTGACAGACAATACCTTAGTTTATTAGAAAAGGTGTCTAGGGCACAGAACATTTATGGCAAGATACCAGAGCATGGGAGAAACCACCTCTACCAAAAGGCAAAGCAGTCTATGTCAGGAACATTTCCTTGCCTGAGATGGATAGATCTGTACACAACAGAAGAAAAAACACTCAAGTTGCACTTTGAGGCAGAGCAAGCTCTTTTCCCACAGTAAATTCTTTGTATATGCACATCAAAAACAGATCTAAGAATCCACTGGGGACAGAACTGGCATGAGGGCAAATCTTTGAGTAAGGTCTTGACAAAAAAGTTTTCTTTGTGACCATGCAGTTGCCTACCCTTACATGTCAAGAGTGGGGGTGGGCACGTAGAGACAGAAAGGGTAACTTGCTAGAGGGTGTTCTGGGTGTTTCTTCTGAGTCCACTGCCTCTTCCTGCCTCAGCAAATAGCAGATTGCTGAGCTATCACATTGTCCTTTCAAGAGACAGAACTGACCTAGAGAGGAGGATTACCCTTGCATGCAACGTTCTACTCTGAGTTAAGCAAATCCTAGACAGTGGTCAGTGAAGTGGTGGGTACCCTATGCTACAGGAGGGACAAGGCTTGCTGAGTCTCTAAAAATAAGCCATGGGGTTGCTGGTGTTAAGGACAAGTCTCTCAAAGGCAGTGTAACAAGAGCACTGACCCAAGACTTAGGAGACCAAATGCTAAGTCCCCTAACCTTGGGACTGATTCTTTATGGTCACAGCTTAACTTTTGCTCTTCCTATCCCACAGGGCTTGAGATTGAAAATGTTCTGCCAAGTGCATGGAAAATTATTAAAAATAACTGTAAAATCACACATCACTATCACCATCACCAGAGCTCACACTTCTGTTTTTCCTTTCAGGGAAAGAGCTTTTCTTTCTTACTGAAGTGAAAAATGCAACTACCTATACATGGCCTTTGCTTATCAGACTTACAAATTAGCCTCCCTTCCCTTGGGCATTGGAAAACTAAATGGACTTATAAAAGAATGAGAGCTCAGAAACTACCCTCAGTGAGTTAAATTAATGACAATTTTATTTACTGTTTGGATTTATTTCTGGCAAAACACACGCACACCTCGGCATATACATGCAGCAAAAAAAAAGAACACTAGAGCTCTGAAATCTAAGCTTCATTCTGAGAACAATGTTCTGCTTGGAAAAGAGACTCTTAATGCAACATAATGTGTGTGATTCAACCTGGCTTCAGCCCACAAAAGAAGAATATGTTATTTAGCAAAAAAAAAAAAAAAAAAAAAAAAAAAAAAAAAAAAAAAAAAGAAGAAGAAGAAGAAACAACATTTGGTCTTAGAGAATCTTGGGGTATTCTCATAGAATTATTTTGATGGAGAACTGCCAACAGAGCTTCTTTTCTTGTTTCTCCCCAAGGGTCGGAGTGCTGTAGGGAGCTCAGCAGATCAGCCATGGAAGGAGAACACAGAAGCTTCCAGACTGACTAAGTGAAACTTCAACATCTTACAGATAAGGAAGGTGTGGCCAAGGAGAGGATTTGCTTGAGATGGTGGAGAAGGGTGGATGTTTGCTTGGCTTTGCACAATCCACAGCCTTTTCCGTCTCCAAGGACCTCATTTCCTTAGGCCAGCAGGAGCTCAACCCACTGTGATCCTCTCCTGACAGACTGACCTATTGGGAGGGGAGTGGCCACCAGGGTGCAAGTAACTGAGCTGGGCCTAGAAACTAAAGGCCAAAGGCTGAAAGGCCCATCTGCTGCAGTCAATTCACCCAAATGTGTTAACAGGGGGAGACAACACAAAGCAGCAGTTACAACTTGTGCCCCTTCCCACACACTAGCTGTTTTTATCACCTGCAGCTGCAGTCATTTGGGGCAGCCTGCTGTGTGCTGCCTCCTTCAGATCCCTGTCTACTTCCTCTGAGTGCTTACTATATGGAAGTTGTCCAGCCCAGCTCCCAGCTCAGGGGAGCATCACCAGGACTTTAAATTTAAGGTTTGTATACTAGGTCCAGTGGAATGGACTGCTGCTGAGATCCCAGCTCAGGAGAACACTCTACTTATTGAGTGACAAGTAAGAAGAGACAACATGCTTCTCATGACTAAAGATGTAACCTTCTTCCCAGCTTTTGGGAACCCCACTCTAACCTAGACTAGTAGCCAACAGTGTTCCAGGAAAGAGGTCATGGGTCTGTCGCAGAGACTGACTCTGTACTTCAATGCAACGTGAGCTCCTGGAGCTTGAGACACATTGCCTGACAAAAGCCAACCCTAAAATGAGGTAAGATGATTTCCATGGAGGTGTTTTCCTACTTACTCTTTCTAGTGACATGGCAGTGGCTCTTTCCCCCAAAGGCCATTTACAATATACAGAGGCATTTCTTGGAGACAGGATTTCTTGTAGCCCAGGCTGGCTTCCAAAACACCATGTAGTAAGGCTGGCCTTCTCCCCTGCAAGTGGCCTACACCTGACTTCTAGAGACATTTCTAGCTACCATGACTGAGCACTGCATTTCACTATTGAAATTTACTGAAAGAGGCTAAAGATACTGTTCATATTCTACAGTATACAAGTCTACTTGCACAAGAAAGGGTAACCCAGTCCCTAAAGTCAACAGCTGCTAAGGCAAAGAAAATCTTCATCACAGTAACAAGCAAGAGATTCAGTTATCTTTACTCTCTTGGTGAAATATCTGGCAAAGTGCTGAACACAGGCCCAAAGAGCTGTAGACCGACATCACCAAATGCATGCTGGATGACCAGCTGGAGGCCAAGGATAGCAAGGCCATGAAGATTGCTCCCTGCCACTGATTTAAGCTACAGTACTGCTATGGAAATGAAGCAGATCAGGCTCCAGGCATCTCAGCCACCTGCAGGGCAAGCTGAGTCAGGAGAACCAACAAGATGTTCAGACAGCAAACACCCTAAGCACCACCTGCCTGGCTCCAGAGATAGAGGTATGACAAAGTGACTGTGCTCCAGGAGTCACAAGTCTAAAGGAAACAAACATGAAGGAGTAAACCCATGACTAGGCTGGCCTCGCTTACACTTTCTTTTTAAAACCCTTCTGGGAAGAGAGAAAAACAATAAAGTAGAAAAAGAAAGCAGTGGAGCGCCACCGTTGATTCAAATCTATATTGCTATGGCAGCCCCTCTGAGACAGGGTCAGCGCCTGGCTTCGCACCAGCTGGGCTTGTGGAGCTTGTAAATAATTAAAAGGTAATTGGAAGGCGAGCCCAAAGTATTAAGTGGATTTCTCTCTCTCAGGGCACAGGGAGTTTCCCTGTGCTAGTCACATTATCTTTCAGGGTTGTATTTTTGTTTTTCACTCACACATACCAGCTCCAGATAACTGTTGGAGGAGTAAACTAATTAGGGCTGCATATACTGCTCTGATAGGCTTGAAGACAGAGGAACAAAGCCTTGAACCTTTCTACTGTCTTTTAAAGCAAACCACCAGTGAGCACTCACTACATTGAAGGCACAGGCTTCAGAAAAGAGCAAAATGGAAGGAGGAGTGTGTGTGGGGGGGAGTAAGGAGAGGAAGCAGGGAGAGGGAGAGAACAGGAGTTGTGTATTCAAGACTATTTAGCTGCTTAGCCTAGAACAAAGAAAAAAAATCATTCCCAGATTTTAATTAAGTTGCTGACAGACCTCAAGGAATGTGTGATTAGATAGTAGCAGGGCTCTAGGGAAGGGGCTGGTGGTGCCTATATTTTGAAGGTGATGAACATGGAGTTACATAAATTGTTAAGGGTCTTCTCACAGAGTGGCTGAAGTCCTGGCCATGCTTCCTGAGGCCTGACCTAGCTGGTGAACCCATTGCTGTGACAGGATATAAAGCCAGGAAGTTGAGTCATTGGGCTCAAGAGTCAGTCACGACATGGTCCAGAGTGAAGCCAGCTATAGGGGGTAGTGTGAAGGGAGAGGAGGACAAAGAACTGAGAAGTGGATTATAAATGGATGTCTACACACTTAGCTGGTAACTTGCAGGAATAGTCCAACTATGTCAAAGAGATCCAACAGGTAATGTTGACCCTTCCTTTTCATGGAACATTTCACACTCTCTAGAACAACCAGAAGGGTTCCTACACTTTCACTTACCTTTCTCAGTCTATGTGGAACTAACTACACCAACAGTACATGCCACATGCTTGTCTAAATGAAACCTGAGGTAGTTATAAGGCTACAATAAAAACATACTTGGATTTGAAATGTCTCCAGAGACTAGTTAATTAGAAGAGACAAAAATAAGACAGAGACAAATCTATCTTTTGCTAAAGTCCTCTCTGCTCCCTTCAATTTGGCTGTCAATTATTTAAATAACCTTTGGACATGGAGGAGTGAAAGAGGATGGGCAACAGTAACACAGCAGTCACTCAGTAAGCACTTAGTTGGAAGAATGAGAGGCAACACACTTACCCCTCTTCTGCATAAAGACAAACAGGTCATCCAGAAATTCTTTCCTTTCAGGATCACTGTCCAGTTCATACAGCTGCAGGTCAGACCCCAAGAAAAAACCACAATGAAACATCCCATCTCACTGCAGGTGTCACCCCAGAGCTACCACAGACATCTGAGTAACTACAGATGTGACTCATCTGCCACTCACAACTGTATGTATGGGGAAAGATACAGCCCACTGCAGAACTGCTTCTATCTTTATCACAAAGACATTACAGACCTTGGCAAAATCTCGAGAGATCTCTCTTCCCCGGCCTCCATCAGCATCATCACTCCAGGCCAAAGCACCATTCTGAAGGGGACAAAATACAACATTGAGAGGGGTATGGGAACCTTCACTCAGGGAAAGATGACCACCCTCAGCATTTCTGCTCTTCTGGCTCACACTAGAAAAGTCTATTGAGGACCCTCTATTACCTTTCCAGGGACTTGCTGCTTTGCTTTTGATGATGGTTTCAAAATATGGTGTGGAACTGGGTCTGTGGATGGGTTTCAAAAGAACCATCTCCCTTCATTGGCAAAGATGGATGTCACTCATGCTTGATAATGCTGAGAATGACACAAAAGCTCACAGTCCCAAGAACCCCCATCCCATTGGATTTTCTACAAACTGCCATTTTGAGACACATCACTGAGCAGTGGGTGAGAAGATGCTCAGCTCAGTTCCCAACACTGCACTGAACTGAAGGGCCAAGCCAGCAGGGCAAAGATTGACAAGTTGTAGTCTCAACCCAGTCTACCATCAGAAACCCGAAGGTTAGTGATGAGAATGCCTGAGTGGCTGCAGGATACCATAGTCTGAGACTATGCCTGACGTACAGATTAGGCACACAAATTAATTTTCATTAGGAAATTAAAAAACAAAACAAACAAAACCCAAGCTTTGGTTAGATCAAAGCAACGCCATTCAGTGGAGTAGGAGACAAGGGGAAGGAGCCTGTATTTATGTTCTTTATTTCAGCTGGGTAACTTATTCCTTAGGCAGCCACCTCTTTACCTCTCTATAGGAAACTCACCCTTTACCCAGGTGCATTAAGAACCTCAGAAGCAATCTCTGTCTGCTGCTAGTTCAGAATTTCACAGTCTTTTTGGAATTATGTCATCTCCATCAGAAGGAACGTTCCTTGATAGAAAATCAATCTTACTATCTTCTTTGTACCCTAGCACAATATCACACTGCCTGGTACGTAATCAATTTGCTATCTGCACTAAAAATCTCTTCCAACTACACAAACACATATACCATAGAGACAGTCCAGCCACCTCTGTGCCAGCAGCAAGTATGAAATCTCCCAGTGTAGTTTTCTGTTCACTCTGTCCTGGTGGATGCAACTAAATACCTTGAGCTGTGACATACTTTCCTTTCTCCCCTCTCCTGGACCACAGGCACATGTAAGGACACCACCCTGCTATCAGGAATGTGTGAGTGCTGGAGATGGCATGGCAGTTAGGAGCATCGATTTCTCAGGAGAACACTCTTTAGACTGTACAGGAATCTTGTTCTAAAACCATGAAATGACAGCCTGGGCAAATTCTACTCTGTACCCATATGCATACCCTACACCCTTGTGCCTGAAAGCAAGAGGCCATTATTTAGCTATACCTTGAGGCCACACTTTGCTTTCCCTACTTAAAAGTTGACTCTGAGATAGAGACCCATTTCTCCCCCATAGTATCAACGACACACAGTGAGGTTAAGTCTAACACAGAAGTGACACCTTGTCAGCTGAAAGGAAACAGGCTATAACAAATTGTTTTCCCGCTTATCTAGTTAAAGATGTGTGTTAAAAAAGTGTTTGGTCAGGGATTGGACTGTGCACATACCAGGCCCAGAGGCACACACAGTTACTAGTGTCCTTTCAAGCCAATAACCAAGCAGAAGCAGCATTCTTTTTTCCCCCCTGTTGTTGTTAAATTCAACCCAACACTGTAATTATAGTCACCAGAAATCTAGTATCATCTGGTGGCAACTAGCACAATGCATATCAAGATGAATTATGCCTGTTAGGTCAGCAAAACCAGACAGTTACATTTGAACCCCTTTCAAAGGGTGCAGTAGGTTGCCCTAATGCCCAATGATTTTGTTTGAGCCAGTAATTCCTGCTGGAAAGTCAATTATCCTGGGAGCTCCTATTGGCTGAAAGACATTTAATGGGGGATCACTGTGCTTCTGTTATGTCAGCTGTTTACTGTGGCAGCTCAATTTCCAACTCTGCAGCTAGAGATCAGAGGCTGATTCTCACAGGAGGATTCTTTATCAGTCACCAAGATGAAAACACTGCGTATTTGCTCATTACGGTAACTTGCAGACACTCCCAAGGCTCAGAAACTATGTCACTCTCAGTTGGAGGGAGAGGACCTAATCCACAACCTTGAATCAGTGAGGCTTTCCGAAGTGGGGGAGGGGTGTGAGAACAAGCATGCCAGTGTGGCCACCTTAGGGCTATGTGTGAAAATAAACACCCAAGTGACACCAGAGCTCCACAGATAGAAAAGAGAAGAATGATGGGGGTGGGGAAAGAGGCTGGTATCCACTATGTCTCCTCTACTTTCTCCAGCTCTGCCCCAGTTGCAAGGAATTCTAAGCACTGGCTATTGCCATGAAGTAAGAAACAGCTTATAATGTGCTTGATCCAGAGAGGAGTCAGCAATAGGGGGTGGAGCGGAGAGTGGAAAACAAAGAATTGAAAACTACATTACAAAGTAGATGCCAATGTACTCTACAGTGACAGGATTTTAGCCAGAAACATCTCTTATCCAATGTCAGAGGACGACACCAGCCACAGGACAGAAACGAGACACTGACCTTTACTTTTTAAGAATGCCAGGAAAAAAAAAAAGTTGCCTGAGTGTGTGTGAGCTTTCCTTCTCCTGTTCCAAGGCAAGGGCAGTCCATTCCATCTCTTTTCTTTTTGATTTTTCAAGACAGGGTTTCTCTGTGTAGCCCGGGCTGTCCTGGACCTTGCTCTGAAGCCCAGGCTGGCCTCAAACGCGGAGATCCACCTGCCTCTGCCTTTCAAGTACTGGGATTTAAGAAGTACACCACACTGCTCAGCGATAATCCATTTCTTAGTTTAAAATAATTGGTTGGGACCTATACAGAATCCTTCATATTATTATTTTGTCTTGAGGCAGTTATTAAACTTACTCTGTTTTGCAGGCTTTTCTGGGTTAAGGGGAGACTAATCCTCTAGCCTGCCTGCCCATCACAGTCCAGCTGGGATGCCAGTTTCTTCATGAAGCCTCCTGGTTTCCTTCTGGGTTGTCACCTCATGTTCTGGTTACCTGTGTCCCTTCATCTCTAATCTTAAGCTTCTTGAGGATATCCCCAGCCCTCAGCACAGAAACAGTACTGAAGCCTGCTGAGAGGCAGTCCCAGTCTCCCCCCTCCTGCCTGTGCTGAGAGGGGTGGTTACAGTTCTTTGTTTACAACTCTGACAGGCTGCTATAAATGGCTCAAGTTTTCTTCACCTATGATCAGAGTGTGGATATGACTAACTAAAAAGTTATCAACCCCAAAATAATTTTTCTTAGATACCAAGTGTGGCTGACAGAATGCAGTAGTGGGAAAAAATAGGGAAAAGTAGAGACGGATGGAGAATGAGAAAAACATGTGCGAAGAGACATCTCAACCTTTTGGGGAGTCAGAGGGGTCCATAAGTTGAAGAGTCACTGCAGATAGATCTATCCATCCAGGAATGGGCTTTGAAGCCACTTGTACAGGCATCAGTATTAAACATCCCAGAACTGGGGGTTAAGGGGAAATCAGAGTAGATGTCAACAGTAACCAGTGGTTACTTATTGCCATTTACAGCCTCCTCTTACTTGAGAAATCCCTTTTTAACATCTTTGATCTCACCAGGAGCTCACAGGAAACTGACAGTTTGTCTCCAAATACCCACCTTAGACTAGTTTTAGCTGCCATACCCACATTTAACTCATTTCCCCCAGGGAAACCAGACTATTTTGCCTTTAAACTTCTTCCAAAAGGTAATGAAAGAAGATTGCACAGTGAAAGAAGACTGCCGGGGTGGAGGGGTGTTGGGGTGTGAGGGGGCAGGAAGCTAGTATTTATGTGTTATAGTGTACTCTGTATTCCAGACACACTTTTTTCACTTAATGGTACATGTAGAAATGCCTCGATCTGGGGAAAGCATGGGTCAAAGAACTTAGAGGCCACTTGCCCAAGGTCTCACAGCTCCTAACTGGCAGTACTAATGCTGGGTTTGCCTTGCTTTCTTGGTGACATCATGCTGCCTCTAGGGTTGCAAAGAACAGCAAAATGTATTCTGCACAGAAAAATTAAGGATGGAAAAAAAAAGAGAGAAAACAGTATAGAGAAAAGTCTGTCTACAGAATGGCTAAATCATGGCCTCAGTGGCTCATTAATGGGAGGGTCTATTATTCTTGATCCTCTCACTGGCTTCATCTGTGCATTTCAACCACATAGAAATTGCCCTCACTTGCCCTGGAGAAACCCAAAAGGGGAAACCTTTACCTCTACCTCCAAAATCGACCATCTACTCTAGGATGACCCTCTTTCCCCCAGGGGGGCAGAACAGGAAAAAGGGAAGTGGAGGAAGACAAGAGAATACAATTAAGGGATGGGAGGAATGTGGCACCTAGCACCGTGACATATACATATAAAGGCTTCAAAATAAAACAAGTCTTAAGCTACCCGACTGCTACTCAAATTAAAACAAGGAACCTCCAACTTCTCAGTCCTAGAAGATCAACAAAGCAGAGAGAAGGAAAACGAACAGATTCATTCTCTTAGAATGAAATCTTTCAGTCCTCAGTCAGTCCCAGTGGGCAAAACTAGAGCAGCTGGGTAGAAAACCTCAGGTCTACGGATGAAGGCCTTTTTCTAACAGAACTGCCTGGCAATGGAGAAAGTCTTCTTAGGAAGGGAGCAGCTGCTTGGTTCTGCACAACTATTTGGGACCTCAGGGTTTGGGATCTTACACAAGACAGGGCTGGACCATGTGGCCTTTTTTCTCTTTTGGTGAAGTAAAGATCTGATGACAAATTCATTCAGTCCAGACTTCCTTGAGAACACACCCCAGGTAGAGCAAGCCAATGAGGAAAATAGCTGCCCTGCTCTCCAAAACAAAAGCGGTCTCCAGCACCAGGAGGGTTACCAAGGAGTTGGAAAAACAAGTTGAACATACACATGGTAAAGCCACAAATATCAAACCACAAAATGCTTGGGAGGTAGAAGGCTGAGGCTCAGAGCTGGAGGTTAAGGTGGCCTTGAGGAATATGGACTGAGGGGAGATTTATAGTTCAAAT